CCCCCCCGCCCGCCCCGCCGCCCCGCCCCGCGCTTAGCTAGTATATGGTTTTGTTCTTGCTTCTTTTTCCGGGACTCGAGCGTCAAAAAAGGGAAGCAAGAACAAAACAGGAAAAGTTTTTTTAATAAAAGAAAGTTTGTTAATTGTATCAATAGTTGTGTCTAATTCAGAAAATTGTGCTTAATTTATATCAGCAAACTCTCTCAAAATGCAAGGACTTTTCGAAGTTATAATAATTTTTATTATATCTGCAACCATCTGATAATATTAGATGAAAAAATTCAATTTTCACCATCTGTAAGCAACTTATGCACAAACAAACATCATGTTGACATTTTCTCTAAACTAGTCTACTTAGCCGTCCTAAACTTCTTTTACTGAGGGAGGAAATATATTTGTATTTTTATTCGGTGAAATTCTTTAAAAATTATTCAAGTTTACTAAAAGATTGACCATGTTCTTTCATGCTCTTACTTGATTTGTGAATATTGATAATCGAATATCAATAGTAATTTCACTTATATTTTTCTATTTACTCAAAAGAAAAAAAGGAACACAATTAAGATGTCAGACTAAAATCACAGTAATTTCATTTTGTAACACACTAGTATAATCGTAAACAAAATTTATTCATAAACATGCATCTAATAAACAGTGTAAATTATTTTAAATAAGGAAAATTTTTCAACAATTTGATGAATACAACTCGAGATATATTTGCCAAATACTATTTAATTTTCATTAGAATATGTTAAGTTTTTCAAAGTTCATTTTAGTATTTAAAAGAAGAATTTTAATCGTTCATAATGACATATTCGTTATACTTTTCATTGTGAATGCACAATAGAGTATATTTTTAAAGTAAATGTTGTTTTAATTGTACAAAATGAAATTATTATTGGCTTATTTCTTTTTTACACTTACATTATCACCAACAAATTAATGAAAAGCTTTCTAGTCTATACATATTATTGTTAGTTTTTCTTGTTTAATAAATTCTACTTTTCTTTGTATAACTCGTACATATTTCTATAGACTATACTCATTCATTTTTTTTTGTCTTCATTAGATGCTCAATATGGTATCATTTTATTTGTTGTAGTTGTTTTGTTTCATTGTGTTTTTGATTCTCAGTGGAGACAAGAATCATAAAGTAATTTTCTATTGGCCTTTGAACTTAAAGAACATTTGTTTTGTTCCAAACTTTGAATTTGGATCTGGCGTCATTCCCTTTTTCGGTGAAGTCTTTTTATTATATAAGTGATTTATAATATAAAACTGTTAATTTAATGCAGTCCAATTTTATTTTATTTCAAATCTACTGATCACTGCTTTTGTTTGAACTCAGTGTGATAAATGAATTGACCTGAAAACATGTAATTTACTGAGAACAGTTATTGTTGTGCTAAAAGAAAGTTTTCTGAAAAGGTTAGAAGAGATATCAGATAAAGATATGTGTTTATCACTACACATGGTAAGAACGAGAGGAAAACACAAAATGTATTCGAAAATGAGGAAGGATTTATATGTTAGATCGAGATAGACGAGATGTTTATGCTAGTCAAAATTATGATGCTAGTGAAGAATCTGATCCACAAATAGATATTTACTCAATCCTACATCAAAGGTATGTATGATAAATTTTAAGCATAATCCGAAATATTTACTTATGAAAAGAATAAAACAAATAAGGTACCGCTACAATATTTCATTTTTCAGTTAAAAAGCTTCTTAGTGTATGCAAACAATGAATTTGTATGAGATCAGCATAAGGTAAGATATCAACGTTTCATAGCAAAGTATAATATTTGATCACTCAAGAATTTGGAAGATTTTCTATTAGATCTCAGATATACATGTGATACGAGAAGCATCAAAACTATCTAATAGGATTAGCAATTACTTAGGGACTAATAGTTAAATAGGATGGAAATGTTATTGAATCGTATTTTTAATTGCTCAAATAGATGAGAAGATTCTGGCTATAATACTAATCAACAACGTAGTTGAAACTATCAGTCTTGTATACGTTAAAACAAAAAACGTATTGAGCACCTGTTTTTTTAGAGTTATAGGTATCGTTTTTGATGATCATTGAGAAAACTAGTTCCGATCATTCATAATCTGGACCGCTGAATGTTTTAAGGCTCTACATAATTGCTCTAAACCATTCATAGTATCTATGATTATATTTTCACATTTGGTTCACACGGCATATCTTCGGTATAGTAATGCTGGCATATTTACAGAGAAAATAGAAAACAACTAAAATCTTAGTTTCAAAACGGCTGATTGTTAATCTTTTAAACAAGGTTACTTGCATTATATATGATTGTTTATTTATATCCAACTATAAATAAACATTAAAACAACATTAATAAATAAACATAGAAAACATAAACAGTAGGCAAAAAGTAGTGATGAAAATGTCACGGGAAAAAAAAATTATGATTATAACCGGTGAATATAATCATTTGGATATTACGTATAGTTTGTGTTGGCTAGGCTTTTTTCATTTTTATGCGTTCAGTACGTATTGACGGAGGTCTGTCTACCTTTCTTCGATCGTACAATATATAGGATCATCAGCAAAAAGAAATACGTTTACATAACTGTCGTGTCAAGAAAGTTGGTCTTTTTTTTAAAATGCTTAATTATCAACTGATATTGGCGAGATAGTTCAAATATGTTACCAATTTGTTGTCAGTAATATTTGTTTCCTATCTGACAGAACTTTTCCGAGATAACTGAAAATCTTGGAATTGACTCAACCTTGCAATCACACGGAATTGATTTCTAAACGTATAAAGACATAGATCGAGGCGAAACGAGATAAATGAAAAGCATTCTTGAGTAAAATGTCAGTTATTTCTTTGAAAATATTAGTTATTGTTTTTCCACTTCCAAAGAGCCTTACGAATTTTACTTGAAGAATTATTCCAGAATAATGCATTACTGTCATAATGATTCATTAAATCAAGATCATATAAATTTCCAGATTTATAAAAACCTAGTACAACAATAGTTTAACATTGGAAGTAGTGATGTGTATCGTATATAGTTGTCCATGCACGTGATGTATTCTAACATTGTTTCAAGCGTCCTTCATAATGCCCTTGCGAAAAGGTTCATTTGATAGCATACTCACTTTTACACGCTGAACAATGTTTACATGATTTAAAGATCTTTAAAAATTGCGCTGGTTTTTTTATCTAGTCTTTTAGAAAACTTTATTAATAAAAGTACACTTTTGCTCAAGTCAGTTTTGAAACCATGGTAAGCATGTACAACATCAAGTTTGAACGTCCTCCAAACTTATTTTAAGTGGTTTATGAATCTTATCATTAACAATAATGATAAAGCAAGTTCTCATAAAAAGCTTTACCTATGCTAATATGAGTATAATATGTACCGGAGAATGCAAGAAAATTATAGATTTTATCAATGTACACCAAATTATTTGGTTGCGGAATAAATTGGAATTGAACAAAGCAAGGAAAATATCTTTTTCAACTATAGGTGCGGCAACAAGCTAATGTATAAGCAGATAATGCTATCTATGCTTTTTACCAAACACCGTATCTTATAACAAAATAAGTATCCTCTATTTTAGTAAATAAATAATGCTATAATTATAAACAAGCTAAATGTAATATTGTTTCAGCAAATTAATTTAGCTTTTTTTAAAAATGCTGCCTCTTCTTTGTTCCTATTGGCCAATGAACCATACTCTTTCAATTTCTTTTCAGTGATGGATGGCTATCGTTGTTCATCAAATACGTCTTGATGAATATGCAACATTAAATCATCACCATAAGCATATTTCATGACAAATATAACATGATCACGTGTTTGAAAACATTTGTTAATAATTAATGCAATACAAATTAATTAAAGATGAATGACGAGAACGATTAATAACTTCAAATATACGTTTTTCCGACATTAAACTTTCAACTTCATCACGTTCTAATATGTCATCGTTTTTCAATATTTTCAACGAATAATAATCACGTTTACGACATACGTCTTCAGCTAATATCATCATTTAAAAATAAAAAAACAATAAGCCTTACGCTGAATGCTAACATTTCTCTTTATTTGAATGTCAATAATTAAACAAAATACTTACTGTTCCAAAATGACCTCTCGCGAGCACACTAACAAGTCGAAATACGTCGATAACAACATATTTTCGCATTGCATTGAAACATAAACAGTTTTAATAAACTTTTTATTTTTTTCACCGTTTTCATTCCACGACAGATATTCATATTTTTTGAATAGATATGGTGGTCTTGATGGACGATTGTGAGCACTGTTACAATGCCATGCATACTCGTCATATTTTCAATCGTCTATCGGAGACAATAAAGAAATGCAGATTAACTTTTTTGATAGTTTATGCAAACACTTACGTTTTGTCTCCTCGTTCAACAGTAAACGATAAATTTTCTTTGGTTCTGTCACATCAGGTAGACAGGATAACTTTTCAGCTTCAATTAATATTCGTTGAAGTTTCTTGATCGAAAGACTGTCATGAACACAAAAAAGTTATGTTCTCGGCAGAGCATAAACAAATTACTTATCTAAACCTGTGGAACCAAGAAAGAACAAATTAATCTTGAAATGATATGCAAAAAACTAAAATTATGAAGAAAAAAAAGACACAGTTAGGCTATCATCTTCCTCTGTCCCAATTCTTAATTACAGTTTTAATCTAAAATAGAAATATACGAGACATCCTGGATAATATACATATTAAAACAAAAGCGCACAAAATTGTATCCCCATAAAACATTCATGTTTTGATACCGATAGCCTATCTATCACATTGCTCAAAAGTTCTCTTCGAAGTAAAATCTAATCATATATAGCTTCACCGTATAAATAGACATTCATACGATATAACAGTTCTGCTCTCTTGCCTCCTTCTGGCGCCATCTCAGTCGAAGATTATTCAATGGTCAACAACCATAGATATCTTATTTTTGAAAATGAGAAAATTTAAAAGAGACTCGAACCATTTTTTCTTGACTGAAATTAAATAACGAATTAATAGAGAACATAAGCCTCATTACTATTGGTCACGATTACAAATATAGCTATTTGTTATTGTTTATTTGTGTCATAATTTTTTTTTCATTGCTTTCATTTAACTTTATGCGTTAAACTTTATAGTCTGTAGGTTATTGCTTTGCTTACTTTTTAATATTATAACTCAATTGAAGACTTACCTCACACAGCACGGTTTAATGAATATCAGTTTTTAAGTCAAATACAAGTATTTTCTATTTGTATCTGGAAGTCATTTTTTTATAATTTCTTTATCTCATTCTACATAAGATTTTGCTTGCACATAAAACACAGCGATATTTGATTTTCAATGCCTTACTCTTTCTATCTTCCATGAATATTGCGTAATACGAATTACTATTTGTATCATATCACTATAAATGCGTTTTTCTTCCATTTTTCGCCTCAATAAATATTTAATGACTTCAAATTGACGGACTGTTTACAAGTTTTCTCTTTTCTAGCGTTCTCTTTATTTTTGATTGTTTTACTTCGCAAGAAACGAACTCTGTTATGAGAATTCGATGTCATTCAACGTAAGTGATACAGAAGGTTTTGTACGATTGTTTCTCTAAATAGATTTCTTTTTTGTTTTAGAATTGATCCACGGCATCCTCGTTGTCGTTTATGTGATACGGTTCATTCTATTTTTTGGCGTGTACCGGCACGTGATTTGTTACTATGTAATAATTGCTTTTTGAGGGATTTAAATGATCAAACAGATTCCAATAAGACAAGCCGAATTTGTAAATTAAAGCGTTTAGATACAAATATTCCGTCTTCTGACGAAGCTGGACGACTAGAAAATCATTGTATATTAACTGGCTATTATTTACCAAATCGAACTTTATCCACTACATTGAAAAGTCAGAAGAATAAAATAAATGTAAATCATACAAATTCAGTAAAATCAAATAATAACAGTAATGGGGCAAATTCATCAACATCAACAGCAAATCAACGTTCAACAATATCAACAAGAAATAAAAATAGAAAAACAATCGCATTTAAATCAAAAAAGGTAGTCAAGGAAATTCAATCAAGTATAAACTACAAACGATTGCTTAGATCTCAACGACTAATGGTTATCGGTTAGTGCTCTGAATACTGATGGATTAAATCCTCGTGTGATTATAATGCTCTGATGTTTTTGTACTTCACATTAGTTAGCGTGCTCTAAAAAACGAATACTTTTTTTGATATTTGTGCCCTAAAAAAATTATAGTATGCCATTTTGTTTTTTTCTAGCCCGAAAAATATCTTCAAGAACCAACAGCATTCAAATTATCTGACGTTTTGTATTCTAAAGTACGTTTTTACAAAAAATCGTAACAATGAAAGACTGTATTATAGAGGCACAGGTCTTTTTAATGAATTTAGAGTTTTAATAGAAGCTGAAGGATACACTAATGCAATATTTTGGCAATAATATTATAGTAACAGTTAATTCTGTTCATTTTCTGCACAATAATTAACTTTGTACGTTCTTTAGCTTCTATTAAACCTATTCACTCTATGGAAAAGTTATCTAATTATTTTATTGTCTATTTGTGTTAGGAGCGTCGATTTCAAGTAGGTGATATTGTACATTTAATGGATGATAGTCAAAAATCGTATTATGGACAAATTCGTGCTCTTTTGCAAGATGAACATTTAAATTCCTATGCATTTTTAACCTGGCTGTTACCACGACCGAATTCAATCCATGATCAATATGAGTTTAACCCAAATTCTTATATCATAGGTAAACAAACTGCCATTTGCTCCAAGAGATAGAAATGTAGTAAAACAACTTATTCTGAATTTTTCTATCATTTAGAAAAAGAAATGTTTTTTGTAGATGGTATAGAGTGTCAGTTTTGGCTAATAAACTCTTTTTGTTAATACTTGAAATTATTCTAAAGAGGCTCGAAAAGTTGACTTTACGAGAAAAGTATCGCGTTCTTAACTGATAATTTATCCGATTCCCTCTTATTCGTACTATATTAATATTCTTCTATTTTTTATTTAGGTCCAAACGAAGAGTATCCACGGGATTTAAATTCATTATCATTTGTGTGTCATTCGCCAACCGATTATTTCCAGGTAAAAACTTATCCACAATCATATTCAAGCCCAATAACCGAAAAGCGTATCCTAAATTATGTTTGGACTAATTTTTCTACTGTTAATAACAAAAGAGCAGCCACGCAAGAAGATGAGGACGATAAAACAAACACTGAAAACATAGAGATAGATGAGAATAATAGTCGTAGTAAAAAAGCATCGAAAAAACGATCACATTCAGCGATCAATGAACAACAACAACAACAGCAATCAGTAGTAAAGAAAAAACGACATAATTAAAGTGTACATTTCTGTATCCTCTGTCTTTCATACTTTCTTTTTTTGCATAGTTTTTCAAATATTTCTGTATTAACTAGATAAAACTGAAGTTTATTGGGTTTTTTGTTGTTGTTTCTGTTGCATTTAATGTTAGATAACTTTTTTTTCTTATTTTTTGTTTTATCTAAAAAAAATTGTTCTGAACAAAGTATATTGTTTCTCTAGCATCTTGAAAGAGGATACCATGGACAATATTATACCTGAAATAGGAAGAGATCTCTATCATTCTAATTTTTCATTAAAAAAGGTATTTCAATGTGAAGCTCGATACTCCTTCATATTGAAAAAGATCTAGATGAAATTAAGCGTCGATCATACTAGATTGCTTCACATAGCGGTTTTACTTTTACTGTTGTCATCAAGTTTAACCACAATGCATTAAACAAATCTTATTCTATTCAGGTGTGGATAAAAGTCTGGTTTTTCGCCTAACTCATAAAAATACTTTTTACCGAAATGAGAGGCAATACTACTATATGGAATATAATAATCTATCCTAGTATCTATACTGGTGCTCTTTTTCTTTCAACAATAATAACTTTTGCATTTTTGTTTTAGATAATTTAAGAGAGAGTAAGTAAACAAGTTTGGTTTAAAGAAGAATCTTGTCAGTTTCAACAGTGACGAAACTTTTCCTATAATTTTGAAAGAACAAATATTAAACGAAATGTTACAAATTATATTATAATCTTTTAGAATTGCCTAGTTAAGTCCTGTAAATATCGGAAAACATACAGATACATTATTTCTTGTTCTTTTTCTCTTTGTTTCTACAACTCTGATAATACAACCATTAAGTGAGAATAACTAAATTGAACGATGAATGACTATAAAGTACCGATTTCTATACGATTTAAAAATTCTTTAAAACTACCGTGGTTTTCATTATCTTCGAGCAATATGCTTATATGAAATGAAAATGAAATTTATTCCACGTGTGCGCTGGAAGAATAAAGGAATAGGATAGGATGGGGTGTGAGTAGATATGGAGTGAATCATTCCTGTCTCGATCCCGATGGGAATGGGACCAGAACTAAAACTTTTTAATCGGGATTGAAACCTGAAATCTTTTTAACAATTTCGTAAAAACAGCGAAAAATTTACCTTTTTTTCGTACTTAAATATAATTTTTTCCAGGATGGGGACCAGGACTTAAAAAACCTGGGTTCCTCCCATGTCTAGGTGTGCGTATTCTCAATTAAGTGAGATTTGTATGCAGTAGCTAGTTGTATTTCATTTTTTGTTGAAAAAAGAAAAGTGATTCAGTTTGCAAAAACAAATGTATTTTTGAATAAGTTTTTTTAAAAAAGATTTATCATAACAATCTTTTCTTTTGATATTTCTTTTTTGGTTGCTAAAGTTTGCCTCTCACGCTTAAGCAATGTATTAAAAATATAGTCAATATGTCTAATACGAAATTAATTATCATAGTTAGTTCCTACATTTAGAATCTAACACATATTAGGGAAGAAAAACGCTTTTATCCCCTGTGCACGATTAAATACTACTAAAAAGTCGACAAAAGTTGTTTTATGAATTTGCCTATAATTATTTATCATACATTTTATAGACTGAGGGAACGTCGTTTTACACTTAGAATGATAAATATTTTTTCCTAAATGCATACAAATTGCACGATATAATATTTCTATTTAAGATATGATACGACATATACCTTGACGTCCATTCTATTTTCTTTTTTTCGTTCTCTTAAGTGGTGCATGTACTAACATGTAGTAAATGTCAGTAAAAGTAAGCGCAGTGTGATTCGAAATATTGCATAGAAATAAATAATACTTTTTATTTAGATATTTACTCGTAGTCGGATAAAACAAATTTTTTTTTTATTCAATTATTCAACTAAAAATATGTCGTCATCAAATGATGCATTAAACAAAGCAAAACAAGCTGCAGCTTATGCAGCTGTTGATGATTATATTAATTCTGTAGGTATTTTATCTATTAAAACTATTCAACTCTAGTACTAATCACTCATTTTAATCTTTCTTCTACAAGAATGTTCATATTGTTGGAATTGGCTCTGGTTCAACTATTATTCCAGCCGTAAAAAGAATTGGTAGGTGATTTTTTTCACAGCTAATGTTTTCCTCATTCTGTAAATTGTTCTGCTCTGTTTTAGCTGAGAAAGTTCGACAAGACAAACTTGATTTAATATGTATTCCAACATCGTATCAGGTATTTGTGTGTGTGTGTGTGTGTGTGTAATACATAAAATCTGTTTTCAAGTGAAAACAGCCAAAAAATATTTTAAACAAGTTAATGCATGTATTTATTTGAAACAATATCTTTCTCTCTTTTTGTTTAGGCGAAAGAATTGATTATTTCAAATGGTTTATGTCTTGGCAGTTTAACAGAATATACCGAAGTTTGTTTGAGTATATTTGTCTGTACTATTTATTATATTTTGTGAGTTTTGTATTAGTTGGATGTTGCTATTGATGGTGCTGATGAAGTTGACAAGAATTTTAATTGTATAAAAGGTGGTGGAGGATGTCATACACAAGAAAAACTTATTGCACATTGTGCAAAAAAATTTATTGTTATTGCTGATGAAAAGTGGGTTTATATCAAATCAACAATAATTCAACTATTGTGTTTTTTTCTTTATTTTTTTTAGAAAAAATTCTCAAGAATTAGGTGAAAAATGGAAACGTGGTATACCCGTTGAAGTATTGCCTCTTGCATTTAAAATATGTATGAGAGAAATCTGTAAACAATTAGGTGGTGATATAGTATTACGAGAAGGCACGGAAAAAATAGTAAGTACTGTGTTAAACATCAAACAGACGACAAATATTTTGTTTTATTCTGTAGGGTCCTGTTTTAACAGACAATGGAAATTTTATTATTGATTGGAGATTTGATACAGAAACTAAAAATAGAAATTGGTCAGATATAAATAAAACATTAAAATCTATACCCGGTAAGACAAGATAATTTTCTCATTAAAATATGTTATTTTTTTATTTTTCTCTCTTTTAGGTGTTGTCGAAACTGGTCTATTTATTAATATGGTAACAAAAGCTTATTTTGGTGGGAGCGATGGAAAAGTAGATATTAAAGAAAATAAAAATATAAAAGTGTGATAAAAAGTGATATTTTTTTTTTGTGCGTAGTTTTAAACTGATGATTTCTCTTTTCATTAAAAGCTTTTTTTCTTGAAAGTATACAACGACGGTGTTTTTCAAATTTTTTTCTTTTTATTCTTGTGCTGTTGTTTTTCCTGTGACCGTAGTTTTTAAACAGTATGTTTTGTTTTTATAAAGTTCTATTCAAAGAATCTGGAAAATAAGTTACAATGGCTACAATATGAAATTTTGTTCTAAAATGCCACTTTCCCTCAAATGTTACTATTGTACCCTTTTTCACATCCAATCTGTTTTATATTATATTCACAGTAATAGATAACGTATTTTAGATGATTTGTATGGTTAACGCTCATCTATAATGGTCGAATATCAATTGAATAACCCGCCCACTGATGGCATTACAGCTGGTAGGTTATTCATTTATTTACATGATTCGTTTGTTTGTTCTAATGTAGATAAGGGGCTATCATTATCCCCGGTTTTCATCTGCCTTCACCGTTAATAACTTGTTATATTTAAAATTTTCTAGTTGAGTTTGGACCAGCTAGTAGTAGTCAATTTTTACTCGTTTCATCATGGGATTGTCTTGTAAGGTAAGTTAATTTTAACAGTTGGCGATATTAATCGTACAAATAAGGTTTATTTATCAATCTAGACTCTATGATATAAACCAAAATTCATTTCGTACGAGCCATAAACATAATGGACCAGTATTAGACTGTTGTTTTCAAGTATGTAGAGAGAGAGAGAGAGATCATTTGTATTATTGAGTTTAAATGGTATCTTGTTTTGTCGTCGTTTCTAGGACAGTTCACATGCTTATAGTGGTGGACTAGATCGGGTGTTAAAAGTTTGTGACTTAAACACTCAACAAGGTTCGTATAATAAAAATGACAGCTAATTCATCATATACTCAGAGTAATTTCAGGTATTTTTCAGAAGCGATTGTTGGTCATCATGAAAGTGTTATTCGTTGTGTTCATTATTGTCATGAATTGAATCTTATTATAACAGGCAGTTGGGATGGTTATGTTAAAATTTGGGATCCACGAGTGCCTACGTGTACAACTTCTTGTATGCAACCAGACAAAGTAAACTACTGTGTGTTTGTTATATTAGGGAGAATAACACCAAATTTTTTTTCATAGGTTTATACATTAGATACAGTTGGTGAAATACTAGTTGTTGGTACAGCCCAACGAAAAGTTCCAATATGGGATCTGCGTAATATGGGTCAAACTCAAGAGATACGTGAATCAAATTTAAAATATCAAACACGATGTATTAGATGTTTTCCAAACAAACAAGGATATGTTTTAAGTTCAATTGAAGGCAAGTATATTATATTATTATCGCATAACAGTTAATATAAGCTTTATTCTCATAATACAAGCGGAAAAATATTCTGTTATAGTATTCTAAACTAAAATACAGAGCGTGACAGTTCATTCATTCAATTTCTATTTTTAGGTCGTGTGGCAGTTGAATTTTTTGATTCTAATCCAGAGACACAAAAGAAGAAATATGCATTCAAATGTCATCGTTCTAAAGTATGTGAAGTAACTTTGTCTTATTTAAAGTAGTAAAAAATTTTCAATTATTTTTGGTGTTTAGGAAAATGGTGTTGAATGTGTATATCCAGTAAATGCTCTAACATTTCATAAACAATACGGTACATTCGCATCGGGTGGAAGCGATGGCTTTGTGAATATTTGGGATGGATCCAATAAAAAACGTTTATGTCAGTTTCATCAGTACGTATACGATGAATTTATTTATATATTTTTTTTCACAAATTCTCTTTTACTTGTTTAGGTATCCAACAGGCATCACAAGTCTAGCCTTTTCTCCTGAAGGAACAACATTGGCAATTGGCTCATCTTATAATTATGAACAAGGCGTAGAATTATACGCCAATGGAGATTTACCAAAAAATAATGTGTTTGTTCGTCGAGTATCGGATCTTGAAACAAAACCAAAATGATAAGCAAACATATCATTTTTCTAGTCAAACATGTAAAGCTTGATTACTAGAATCTGTTTTTCGTTCTTTTTTCTGTTCGTTGAATAATATTTGTTGTAATATATCATCAAACACAAACAAAAAAATGTTTTTCTTTTTTTTGTTTTGTTCTGTTTTCTTTATATAGACTTTTGATGAAAATTATATGAAATTTTTTACGACACTAAAGAGTTTTTTCGCTCTTTAGATTAGATGCGATGTATACACAATCTTTTTTCATCTTTAATTGAATAAGACAAACAGAATGACTACTTAGTACTGTTAACTTCTAAACTTGAATATCGTTTGTATGACTTGCTACTTGTAGATGGTCGATGAAACATTGTTTGATTACCTTCATATGGCAATTGTTGATCATTATTGTAATGATGTTATAAAAAAAGACTCAACAGACAATTCAGAAGTCATTGTTGGATCCGAAACACCAACATGTTTTCTTTATTTATCTCAATTAGGTTATCGTGTTGGTTATGTATTAAGTGAACGTATTTCAAAGGAGAGTCCACTATTTCGTGATGAATTAAATACAATCAAGTATTTATGTAAAGAATTATGGTTAAATTTATTTAAAAAACAAGTAGATAATTTAAGAACAAATCATCAAGGTGTTTATGTTATACAAGATATAAAATTTCGCTTATTACAACAAATATCGTCATCATTATCACAAAATAAAACATCAGCGAAGACTACGAAACAAAATAGTAATAATTTTGATAAACTTCATACAGCCTATTTGTCTTATTCAGTTGGACTGATCAGAGGTATTCTAACAAATTTAGGTTATCCGTGTCGTGTTACAGCTGAAATTATTGATCATTTACCGAGTGTAAGATTTCAAATTGAAATGATAACACAAAAAACTTAAAAATATTTTTCTTAGTTTGTGTGATCTTTTTTTATTGTAATTTGTTAAACATTTTTTCTATTATCGAAATTATCGAGTGTTGTTTGTGTAGCAAAAATTTCAAATATATGTTAGATAAAGCAAAATGTTTCTATGTTACTGGAAGTGGAAAATTGAGAATTTCATGAAATTCTAGACTCAAGAATATTTTTGTTTTAATGTGAATGTTTGATATGTCTAATTGTTAAGAAAATTTTCTGATTACCGTGTAAAAATACAGATAGTTACTTTCATTCTGACATGATTTGTTTACAGTATTTTATATTATTCTTTGTCGAGCTGTTTAATTATCGATCAGACATACAAAATGAATACAGGAAGAAATCGTGGTGCACAACGTACAAAGGGCAATTTAAAGGTTAAAACAGTAATAGAATACTGTTGTTGCAGGAGATAATTATTTTGTTCTACTTTTAGCCTACCAGTAGCGCAAAAGCAGCCAGTACATCGTTGCTGCTTCAGACAAATGGAGTATCTCCATTTACACTTTTATCAGGTATTTTTTTCAATAATTCTGCTAAAGTGATTCATGTTTTAGGCACAAAAGATTAGTTTTAATAATATTTGTTCTTATTGTGTATGCTTATAGGCGATATAACCAGTATGACAGCAGAGGGAACGAATTTTGATGAAACTGATCATGATCTTGATCCAGAACTACGTGTTATTTTAAGAAAATTAACAAAAAAAGATTCAACAACGAAAATTAGAGCATTTGATGAATTACGAGATTATAGTGAAGAATGTGAAATGGACGATAAAATTCGACCAATATTACCATTTTTTTTCCGTTACTATCGAAAATGGTCCATGGTAGGTTGATGGAAAGGCAAACGGAGGAGAAAGAGTATAACATCACTACTTCTGAAAAGAGTTCCGCAAGAATAAAAAGAAAAAATGCAGATTTTGATGTATTTTCCTCGTCCTTTCTATTGAATTTACGTCGACTTTGATAGACTTTCGATGTTCACCAAAGCCCAATAGAAGCTATAAAAATGCAAAAGTCAAAAAGTCATATTTTCCCCTTGTAGTCCGATCAGTTGTCCGTATCCTTTGATCAAGATTCTGAATGAGTATTCTACCTTTCATTGCAGTACTTCAGATTTCGATTCTCATTGCAGGATCAAGATCAACGTGTGAGAGATGAATGTCAATCAACGTTCGACTTAATTGGAATGAAAATGAAAAAAAATTTATTACCGCATTTAAAGTCCATTTTGCCCACATGGTTGATGGCACAATGTGATTCTTATGCACCAGCATCTTCAAAAGCGAAATATTTGTATACAAAACTATTTAGTGGAGAGCAAAAACAAGCTGAAGTAGTTTATTACGCTAGAAAAGAAATAATGTCAGTACGTGCCTAAGATGACAATGTCTATTTTTATGTCCAAAGATAAACTAACATGAGATAAATCTTTATTTTAGACTTTAGCCGATGAACTGAGTGAATGTTCGGACGCGCTCAAAGACAAGTGAGTAGCATAATTAGTAGTGTAACTTTTGTTTAAACTTCTATTTCTTCTTTGTAGAAAACAAAATGAATTAGAAACGGATGATAGTCATGAACGACGTTTAACTCAGTCGTTACTTGCATTAAGTTTATTTTTGAATTATTTTGATTCAAACAAACTTTCAGAATTACATGACAATTTTAGACAAATTCTTGATAGTGGCAAATTTTGGAAATTAGAAAAATTCAAATCAAAACAAGTAAGTAATATTTCCTTTATCCAGATGGCGTTATAAACACTGCTTTTTGTCCTTTAGATTCAAAGTTCATTCTATCGTTGCTTATTTTCCTTGATACGTCTAATGCCAGACTTAATGAAAGATTACTTAACCAAATTTATTCCGTTGATATTTTCTGCAATTAATGAAAGTGATCCGACAATATGTCCCCTAGTTTGGACTGATCTTTTGGAATGTTTAGAAACATTCGATGTAAGTAGAATTCAGACGCACGATCTGTCGCTAGCCTAGTAGATTCTCAGAATCCACCAGGACTCAATTATCGAAAAAGTGTAAAAAAGCTTATCAGCGCAGACCTTGGGTCTAAAGTATAACTTCTCCATTTAAACGTGATGGACTAAGGTGGGGCTGGATGGAATCTATGCCTCGAGTAGTTTGTCCACATGTACAATGTATATTTAGTATTGTCCGTGGGTTCGTGTACGACTGCGAGCGCTAGGCGGAGGAGCGATGAAAGTGAAATTTTTCAAATTTCCAGCAATTTCTTCGTTTACAAACTTTCACCCCTTATTCTTCCTCTTTCAGAGGAATTCAGGAGAGAAGTTACACAAAAATAATATCGCTCAACGCGTGTAGCGTTATCGATTCATCTATAATCATCGAACACCACATGTTTTTAACCATTGTCCACGAACATAGTAGAATATTAAAAAAAAACCTGCGGCTGATAAATCTCAATAGAAATAATATATAGGTTATGTCTACAAAGGCTTTTATTATGAATTTTAGGATTGTTGGTCTCATATCAATTATCAAAAAGCATTTTTACCAAAATTATGGGCATTTTTGAGACACGGCTGTTATGGAAATGTATTTGGTGTAAAAGACGCTCTATTGTCCTTAATTAGTAAAATTCCATCAACAGTTATCGAAGATAAAACATATAATTTTATTGAAAATTTTTTCACATCAATGGAGGAAGGGTATGTAAAAAAAATGAGCGTAGATTTTATTTAAGTCTTTTCTTTCATTGTTCTTGATATTGTAGAATGTTATTAATAAAAGGTCGTCATCAGGCAAATAATGCAAATGCATTATTAAAAGCTTATATGGATTGTGTAATGTATATTCTTGACCAATATTATAAAGAATTAGAGCAAAAATTAATATTTATTAACGATAGAGTATGTTTTTTCATCAGGCATATCACGAAATATATACACTTGAAAATGTTTATTTTATTCTTTTATTTAGATGTTACCATTGATTCGCGTCTATTTAACAGATAAAGAATGTTCAATTCGTAACGTTTATCCTCGCCAATATTTATATTTATTAAACACCCTTAAGCCTCAAAAACTCTACAATGATCATCTAAATAATGTATTATTACTGTTTTCTTCTATCATTAATAAACAACCTCCAGTTGATGATTTAAAATATATATTTGAACAAGCAGGTCATTTATTTGAAACAGTCCTATTGCCACCAAAACAGAAAAGTTTGCGTTTTGCTTCATCATCACCACAATTATTAAATAATGGTGATACATTATTTGCGGATGATAGTGATGAAAAAAGTGATGAACAAAATGATTATCTAATTGAGTTATCAATTCAATTATGTCGTCTATGTTTTGACTATTGTTTGAAAAATAAAGATGAAATTTCGTACGAATATAGTCTTGATTTATTTTCCCATTTATTATCAATCAATAATGAGCAAAATTCAAAAATAATTATCACAAAATTAACTGAAGAAAAAGATGTAAATAGTGTAGCAGAATTATTCTATTTAAATTATGAAAAACCTTTATTAGTTATTTCTATCGAAAAACAATCGACATTAGATCATGTTTTGCAATTGACTATTTATACGCTCAATTTATTTAATTCATCGGCTCAATGTGTCGAACGAGTTCTTGCTGATCTTATCAAAGTATGTGGACAATGTCTATTACGGAAAATATGAGTCTCTAAAGTTATTTCTCCCATTTTAGCTTGAATCATCTCGTCGATTTTATTTTCTACTGGTATCTATCGTCTGTCGTTATGAATCATCTCCATCATTTCACACTTGGTTACAACATCATGGTGTACTTGAACAATTATTGAATATGACAGCCACGGTTACATCGACAGCTGACGTTGATCAATTGAACAATGATCTTGTTTTACCTGTTTCTGTTGAAGAATTTCAATTGCTTTCATCTTTATTATGTTCAGAAAAATCAAAATTTTTAACCGAAATTCAAAAAGATCAAGTTGTTTATTTAGCATGTCGACTGTTTTGTCAAAAAAATCAACAACAACAATCGGATAAACCTGGAAGTGTCACTGTCACTTGTCAGAATGTCAATGATACTGATTTAATGAAAAATATTGATCATGTAGCAAAATATCTATTTGAACGAATATATTCAACGTTTGAGAAAAAGTAAGAATACTATCTGTTGCGATGCTAATGTTGTTTTGGTGAAAATATAAAATCTCTAAAGAACTACTATCCATCTCAAAATATAAGGCAGGTCGTTATTGTTTTAATAACTCAATAACGGGAAGAGATACAGACTTGCGATTTTTAACAACGAAAGAGGACAGTTGACTTCATATTTTCATAAGCAAAACTGACTTTCGAAAAAACTTTTGGATCCGATTTTTCAGAGGATCTCTGGAAAATCGGCTCATAGCTTAAAAAATTCATAACGCAGTCAAGATCAATCCAAGTTATGTCAGACTATCAAGATGTATTTTGTTTTACTTACTCCAAACGATTTTTTACTTGACAATAGTAAAAAACATTCCTATACTTCGGAAGGTTTATAGAAAACACTTTCAAAAACCAGAGTATTTTCTGTCGATTTCTAAAGCTTCTGTTAAACTGCATAATATTGAGCCGGCAAAACAGAGCACTTCTTGATAGTCTGACATAACTTGAATTGATCTTGACTGAGCTATGAATTTTTTAATTTTACTCAAAAATACGCAACAATGGGATATTTCACCTAATGTACGTTTTCACTAGGTTTGTGAAACTATTTTGAAAAACAAATATTACCACGACTTTCAGCACAGTCGGTAACCTATGTTTTCATTCATTTCTGGCTGTCCCAAACCTAACGGCAGAGGAATCCTAAGGCTTCAAGGAAACCGCCCATAGCTCCCGAACCATGGATTTTCGAGAGGTCGCTTGGATCTGGTTTTGTAGAGGGCACCTTGGACTATCCATATATGAAGAAAAACTGATAGATTTCTATATAAAACTTTAGAGCTATAAGCCGATCTTTCAGATATCCTCTAAAAAATCGGATCCAAAAATTTTTTCGAAAGTCAGTTTTGCTTATGAAAATATGAAGTCAACTGTCCTCTTTCGTTGTTGGAAATCGCAAGTCTCTATCTTTTCCCGTTATTAAGTTATTGAAAAAACAACGACCTGCCTTATATTTTGAGATGGATAGTAGTTACTTCGCTCAAGGAAAGTTAATATGGAAGACGAGATACGTCTTTTATTTTAATGAATTAAGCCAGATATTTAGTCTTAACTGGCATATGCATTTACTTTAGATCAACTCAAGAATTATTTAAAATCTATTTTCAAACAGATATAAATAATTTACTCGTTAAAAATGTTAATTTAAGTGATCATTACCGTCATATATGGTTTATTACTCTTCAAAAATGTGTCGAACATCCAACATTATTCAAGGAAATTCTTACTCAACTAAAATTTTACATAATTGATTATATTCCAAGTCAATCAGACAATGGAATATTCATTGATAGTATTCTATCTATATGTTTGGACATTGATAATTTAGGTGGTTCATCATCATTAACTCCATTATTGAATGAATATCTATTAGATAAAATTTCTTTAACAAAAGAATCATTCACTGAATGTTTATTATATTCGAGTATGAAAGGTTATTTGATACCAACTAGTCCACTACACGTTGGTCAAGAGACAAAACAAGAGACTTACACACGTTATACACATGTACAATTTACATGTTTATTTATAATTCGACAATTTGAATCAAATTCACTATTATTTAAAGAATTTGATGATTATCAAAGTATTATTAAACAAATTCTATTAAATGAACAATTATTTTATCATAGACGATTGGAGACTAAACATTTAACACAACAAATTGAACGATTATTTAATCAACAATCGTTTAAACCAAAATTAAAATTAATTGATCTCTTGTGTAAGTACATATGATCATTGTCTATAACATAGCAACATCGGCATAGCTTGAAAAATGCAATTCGGAATTTGATTTTTTAAAAAATGAATTCGCATACGCTCCGAATCCATTTCGGTATGCAATGGAAGATAATAATGCATATTGATATATGGTGTGTTTGTGAATTCTCTCTTATTTTCTGGCTAGTTCAGGTCATCATGTAGATTTCTTATGTTTTTTATTTATATGTATTCAAACAGTCAGATGCTGATAATTTCTGAACTTTTTATTTAAGTATTTCTGTTGAGTTTTCTAGGCCAGCTATTTTCGACGAGTTTATTCAATGAATCCATATTTTTCTAAACAGATACATGGAGATGCCGAAGTGTCGTAGTGGAGGTGTTGAGGAAGGGGGGAAGATGCCATGAGAGTGAGTCGTGATCGTTATCTAACCTAGATGGTGACCTGAACTAGTGAGAAAAAAGATAAACATTGTAAGCCTGTAGCCAGTAGGAAGACATATTGCATATCGAAATAGTAAAGAATAATTCAATTCGACGCGAATGCGAATTTTCATTGATCTCACCATCGGGATAGACATTATTCTAATACAATGCAAAAAAAGAAAGATACGATAATAAGACTAATGTAAAATAATTGTTTTTATCTTTCAGCCTCATCTGTAAAATCAACAGAAAACGAAGTCGATTTATACAGTGAAATAATTTATTATCATTCTTACAATATTCTAAGAGATAAATATTTGAATTTGAACGAATATAATGATGATTTAAATTATTCGTTAAATATTCCATCTGGAGATGAATATTTAAATGCTTCTATTATATTATGTTCTCGTTTTCATGATGATACGTTAAAATTATTAATTCCGTATTTAAGTGAACTTTGTTGTCGTGAATTATGTGCATTATATTTAGCAGCATTAAATCAATGTTTACAACAATCAATTAAAATTGGTACAATTATTGGTGATAGTAAGATAAATCAATCATTTTTAGGTATATTTTAGCTCAAATTTGCTAAAGTTAAAAATGATACATGTTTTTCTAATGAATATTCTTCATTAATTTAGATCTATTAGATATAATGTATTCATCAACGAAAACATCAAATAAACTTGATTTATCGAGTTGGAATGAAACAATTTTTTGTATTGAAGTATTAAAATATTGGAATAATTTATTTGAACATGGAACATTTGTCTATTCACTAAAACAACAACATTGGGATAAAATTCTTTGTTATCTAACTAATTTATATCAACTATTGATCAACATGAATGTTGAAAATAATCCGGATAATACAATAGCAACAGAATTACTCTTATATCATTCATCAAAATTATTGTATTCAATTGGAGAATTATTGACAATCGATACTAGTGATTCAATATCAAAACAATTGAAAGAAGAATGGGAAAAATTGTATAGTAAAGAAATTTATCAACAATTATTACCATTATACGTCGCCTTACCAAGTATGTACAAAATTTGAATATATATTTTTTTTCCTTCTTCAAGTCAAATTATTTATTATTTTATTAACTTTTTTTAGGTGTATTAAACGAATTTTCAAACTATTATCTATGTCATGAAATGGTCAAATCTTTATGTTGTTCACTATGTGTTATACCCGATGATCATTTAATCTCTAATACTTTGAAACCATTATTTCATCCAGATGATATTAATTTGACATGGTCTGATTCGTTACAATCATCATTCAATCATTTATATCGTTTATTATCAACATCAAATCGTTCTATTCAATATTCTTCTTATACTCTATTGAATAAACTCTTACCACATATAGCAGAATATTTATTACCAAGAAATAAAACGGAAGATGAGAATGAATCGGAACTTTTGTGTACTCTACCTGGTTCCATTTTAGAATCACTAAAAAGAACAGAAGAAATAATTGGAC